TGAACTGATCTAACCATTTTGGTGCAATCTGGAATCATGCACAAAGAGTTATAAAAATGTCTATGTCCTTTGACCCAGAGATACCTCTATTAGATCTGTTTCCCAAGATGATCAGGTGAAAAGGAAAAGAACCCATGGGTTCTAAAATATTTATATCAGCTCTCTTTGTGGTAGAAATTGAGGGGATGCCTATCAATAGGGGAATGGCTGAACAAGTTGTATGTGATTATGATGGAATAGTACTGTGCTGTAAGAAATGATGAACAGGTTGATTTTAGGGAAAAAAAAGGGAAAATTTGCATGAAATAATGAGGATTGAAATGAGTAGAACCAAGAGAATGTTGTATATAGTAACAGCAATATTTTTTGAAGAGTAACTGTGAATGACTGATCTATTCTGAGTATTGTAAACACTCAGATCAACTGCAAAGGACCTGTGAAGATGCTATCTACCTTCGGTGAAAGAACTGATAAATAGAACTATGCATGGTATGGTTTTACATACATGTATAAATCTGTGTCAAAGGGTGGCCTTTTCTAGTTCAGGTGGGGAGGAAAGAAGACAGACAGTTTGGAACTTAAAATGTAACAAAAAATAAATTAAATTAAATTTTAAAAATTTAAGTTCAAAATGAATAAAAAACAAACAAAAAAAGATATGGGTTCAAATTTCACCTCAGCAGCTTTCTTACTTACCTCTCTGCTCCTCAGTTTCCTCATCTTTAAATCGTGGAGGGGGAAATGCCTTCAGTTCCCATGTCCAGGTGTTGTTGTGAGCAACCAATGCGATAATATATGCGAAGCACTATATAAATGTCAGCTTTTATTATCCTCATCAGGAAATGTCTTGCAGGCAGGGTAGCTCCCCCCTACCAGGAGATGTCTTCTCTGTTAAGCATGGGATGATAATAACTCAAGTTTCCTATTGAGAGAAGAGAGTCTAGGTCTAGGCAAGAGAGAGAGAGCCATGGAATCTTGCCCAGTTCTAGAGTTCTGGGAGTCTATGGGATTCTGTTCAGTTCAAGTTTAGTAGAATACAACTCTTTGGGGTCAAGGACAGGGTACCTTTGTGTCTCTGTGTCTCCAACACAAAGCCTTGGACATAGTAAATACTTAATAAGTGCTTATTGGATTGCAATGGAATTCAACAACTATTAAGTATGAATCGTGTATGGAGCACTGTATTAGGCCCTCAGGGCAGATTTAAAATTTAGATTTTGCATGGCCCTTGCTTTTGTGATAATAGCTCCCATTTATACTGCTCCTTATGGCTTGCAAAGGGCTTTTCTCAGATGAATCCTGCGAGGTAGGTGGTACCTAGGTGGCACAAGAATCATTATCCCCATTGTGTAGATGAGGGAAGGGGGCAGCTAGGTGGTGCAGTGGATAGAGCATTGAGCCTGGAGTCAGGAAGATCTGAGTTCAAATCTTGCTAGCTGTGTGACCCTGGACAAGTTACTTATTCTTTATTGGCTTCAGTTTCTCATCTGTAAAATGGAGACACGCTGAGAAGGAAATGGCGAACCACTCAGTTATCTTTGCTAAGAAAACTCCAGGGACAAAATGCTCATGGGGTCATGTAGAGTCAGATATGACTGAATAATTGAACAACAGCAACAAAAACAGCAGGTAACTGAGGCTCAGAGAGGTTAAGTCAGTCCTTGCTGGTCATGGAGCTATTAAGTGAAAGAAACAGGACTTGAACTCGGATCTTCTGACCCAGGATCCAGTACTCTTTCCATGACACTGCATCGCTTCTCTTTGGATTTGTGGCTTAGTTGGGAGGTAGGATAGACATGTGCAACACACACACAACATATGTATGCATATGTTTAGAGCAGGAAGGGACCTTCAAGACTTTCTTGTCCAGTGTCTGTGGATGGTGCCACCATTCTGCCAGTCTTGTAGGCTCGCAATTTGGAGTCATCTTTTACTCTTGCTTCTCCCTCACCGTACACGGCCAATCAGGTACCAGGTCTTAACGTCTTTGCATCATCTCTGGCAAATATCCCCAGGGCCAGGAATTGTCCTTCAGGACCCGATAAAGTATGTGAGGGCAGTGCAAAGAAAGTACTGTGTGAGATCCATGGGAGACAGCCCGGGCAAAGGCATGGAGGTGGGAGATTGTAATGAATTCTGAGAAGCAGCCTGGTGCTGGGGATTCTGGGGTCACAGGATCTGGGTTGGAGTTCTGGCTCTGTTATTTCCTGCCTATGTGTGACCTTTCCCCCTCCGAGTTTTAGATTCCTCCTCTATCAAATGAGGAAGTTGTATTAGCTTGGCCTCTGAGGTCTCTTACATTAGATCTATGCTCCTATAAGCTGGTTCTGTGGGGGTTCTGGGTTCTTTGGGGCTAGAATGGAAGCTCTTCCAATGAAAAGGAAGCATAGGGAAGGTTAGGGACTCTTTCATTTTTGTCCTCATATCTCCAGTGATGGCACAGTACCTGGCACACATTGGAGGTGGGTTTGGTTTTTTTTGGGGGGGGAGGGGGTCTGGATGGGCCCAAGATCAACCCAATGAGAAAATTCCCTATACTGATGCAGATCATGAGGATCAGTTCTGTCTTTGAAATTGATCCCCATTTTACAGATGAGGAAACTGAAGTTAAATGACTTGCCTAGGGTCACACAGCTCATAAGTGTTCAAGTCTGGATTTGAACTCAGGTCTTCCTGACTCCAGGTCCAGTGCTGTATCCACTGCATCACCTATCTGCCTCTTAACCTTCTAAAATCTCTTCCTTCAAGAAGCATCTCAAGTGGCATCTTCTGATCCCCACCCTCCCACCCCAAACCACCACTCTTTTCCCTCCCTAAATACCTTATATTTGTTCCGCATTTATTTAGATACATAGACAATGACTGCACTCTTTTTGTCTTTATATTCTGTGTCTAGCACAGTGCCCAACACACAATAATGTGCTCAATAAATGTTTGTTAATTGATAAAGACAGCAAGAGTTTCCAGTTGGGTGAAGAGCATCCATTGGGCTAGGAGAGAGAGAATTTGAGGTCTTTACCCTGTGGCGGGAGAGAGATTGAGTGAAGAGCATCTGTTGGGAAAGATAAGTCAAGAGAGAGATAAGTCGAGGGCTAGCCCACCTCTGGCGTTCTTACATTTTATGGTGGTTCCATTTCCTTCAGTTCATTTCGCCAAACAGTAAGACTCCAAGTATGTGGTGAAGAAATCTTTGGGCAGGTTGGCGAGACACTTGGGTTCTTAGCTCAGCTCATCTGCTAACTTAAGCATGGCCTTGGGTTGTTTCTCCATCTATTAAATTCAACTCAGCAAACATTTATTAAGCGTCCACCATGGGCTAGGCACTGTAGGCACAAAGACAAGAACATAAGGGTCCTGCCCTCATGGAGTTTCTATACTATAAAGGGAAATATCGTGTATAGTAAATACAGAATACATACATACATGCATATATATACACATATACATACATATACATATATATATATATATATATATATATATATATATATATATATATATATATATATATTCCTAAACCTCACTTTCTTTTTTCTCTTAAACTTAAATACAAAATGAGAAAAGAAAAAAAAAACATTGCCATGTACACAGCAGAACATAAAAAAGGATTCAATATAAAACAATGAAGTTCCATTTTAGGAAAACCTATATAGGATTCAATATAAAACAATGACATTCCATTTTAGGAAAACCTATGTAAGGAAACATATAGGAAACCCTATATAATAACTGCTATACATTATTTTCAAAGCTGCCCAACTTCCTTGTAGGCTTTCTTTTGTTCTCTGTGGTACACTTTTTACTTTATTTTTTTCCCCTTCCTCACCCCTACCCCCAAAGAAGGCTGCAATTAAGCCTGGAGACATGTGTGTGTGTGTGTGTGTGTGTGTGTGTGTGTGTGTGTTTGTATATATGTATATATACACACATATATAGATATCTACAAACATATACACATATATGCTCATACACACACATATATATGACCATACTAGGCTTATTTCTACTTATTTCTACTTATTTCATCTGTTTCTCTGAAGGTGGAGAAGATCTTCCTTCATAAGTCCAAGTCTTTCCATGTTTTTCTAAATCAACCAGCTCGTCATCTCCCATACTGCAGCAACATTCCAGCCCGATCACATCCTTTCTTAGGGGTTGTTTTTTTTGTGTGTTAAAGTTCATATTGAATTTTTTAAAAAGAGTCTATTGCGTTAATCCAGGTGAGAGTTAAGGATAGTCTGAACTAAAGTGGTGGCCCTATGAGTAGAGAGAAGGGGATGTTTGCCAGAGATGATGTGAAGATGTTAAGATCTGGTGACTGATTGACTATGTGCAGTGAGGGAAAACCAGAAGGAAATGATGGCTCCAAGACTGCGAACCTGCGAGCCTGCAGAAATGGTGCTGCCATCAACAGAAATTGGATAAGATGGTGAAATAGAAATAATATTTACCAAAAAAACAAAACAAAACAGATTTCACATTCAGATAAAAAAAATTACACAGTTCTTTTCAGTTGAATAAATCTTAAAATCAGAGAATATAAAAATAAGAAGGGGCTTTAAAGTTCTTTTTTTCTTTTGTTTTTGCTAGGCAATCAGGGTTAAGTGACTTGACCAAGGTCACACAGCTAGTAAGTGTCAAGTGTCTGAGGCCAAATTTGAACTCAGGTCCTCCTGACTCCAAGGCTGGAGCTCTATCCACTGCACCACCTCGCAGCCCCCTTAAAATTCTTAAAAGCCAATCCTGTTTTACAGATAAGGAAACCGAGGCCCAGAGAGCTATTTGATTCCTGTGTAAACTTAAGCAAAGTTAACACTTTGGGGAAAAAAACTGAATGTATCCTTTGTCAGTGACACTGGTGAATCTTGGGCTCTGTTGTAGTCTCTGGAAGGTCTGCTTTCTCCAGGGCCCTGGCAATTTTTTTTTCTCCAGAGAATGGGCCAGATCCTTGCTCCTCTTTCTCTCCAGCTCTCTGATATCTTCCTTTTTTTTCCCTACAGGATGTCGCCACAATGCAGTTCTGTGCCAACAAGCTGGACAAGAAAGATTTCTTCGGTAAATCTGACCCCTTCCTGGTGTTCTACAGAAGCAACGAGGATGGAACGTGAGTTTCTTCTCAGCTTTCTTCCCCATTTACGCCCACCTCCTTTGCCCCTGGGATGGAGCCAGTAGTGTCCAACCCTTCATGACCCTATTTGGGGTTTTCTTGGCAAACATCCAGGAGTGGTTTGCCATTTCCTTCTCCAGCTCATTTTGTAGATGAGGAAACTGAGGTAAACAGGGTTAAGTGACTTGCCCAGAGTCACACAGTGAGTAGATATCTGAGGCCAGATTTGAACTCAGGATGATGGGTCTTCCTGACTCCAGGCCCTGTACTCTATCCACTGTACTACAAGATGGGTGAAACCTTAGGAGAGAAACTAAGGGCTGAGTAGAAGGAATAGAGAGACAGTACCAAAGCCAAGAGAAGGGAAAAGAAGGAAAGAATCAATGAATGAACATTTATTAAGTGCATATTATGTGCCAGGCATTATGCTAAGCACTGAGGGTACAAAAAGCAGCAAAAGATGGTCCCTGCCCTCAAGGAGCTTACATTCTAATCAGAAGATCATAGAATTGGAATTGGAAAGAATCTCTGAAGTCTTTCAGTTGAATTCAACCCTTTCATTACATAAAGAACTGAGAAGCCCAGAGATGTTAAGTGACGTTCTTGCTCAAGGTCGCACAAATAATAAGTGGTAAAACTTGGATTCAAACCCAGGTCCTTGGATTCCAAATCCAATGTTCTTTTCATTGTGATATTCAGTAGTCCCCCACCCTCCACCCCTCGCTATACCTAACTGCTGCTCCTTGAGTTTGACTAGAACAGGCAGCCAGGTGGTACAGTGCTGGGCCTGGAGTCAGGAAGGCCTGAGTTCAAATCCTGTCTCAGATACTTACTACCTATGAGAACTTGGGTAAGTCACTTAACTTCTCTCAGCCACAGTTTCCCCATCTGTAAAATGGGATAATAACTGCAGAGGGTTGTTGGTGAGGATCAAATGAATTAGTCTTGCAAACCTTAAAGTGCCGTATAAATTCTAGCTATTATTATTTTTAAAAAGGGGCCCATGTCTAATGTCCTTCTCAGCTGAAAATCCTATGGTTCTGTGTAGGGAGAGCCCAGGTGTGTTTCACTTTAAAAGATAAAAAAGCCAATTTTAAAATCTGAACTTCCAAAAACAGTGAAACTAGTGGGTGACTATTTGCATTACAAAGGGATTCTTTGGTTCACCAAAGGAATTCACTGTAGGATTCCTTTAAATAATTCTTGTTGACTTGAATTTGGAGAGAAAAAAATACCAAAGTGGTTTTAAAATATTGTTCAATGTGCAAAAATTCTGTTTGCACCCACAATGAAAATGATGTAAAAGCCAGGTAGACTTGTGTTTAGGCATAGGTCTGGTGGGCCCCAGGGAGGTGGCCCAGCAATGCCCAGAAGGCCAGGCCAGCCTGGCCCACTGATACGTACTGCCTAGCCTAGTGTGGAGAACCACTGTGGGATCTCAGGCATAGGAGTGACAGGATGAAAACAGCGTTTGAGGAAGATTATTCTGACAGCGTGTGTAGGATGGATTGGAGGGGGGAGGGACTCGTGACAGGGAGAGAGCAGGTAGGAGGCTGTTGCAGCAATCCAGGCGTGATGTGATGGAGGCCTGGATAAGGGTGGTGGAGAGTGGTGGAAAGGGGGAGAGAAAGAGAGAGAGAGGATAAGGAGACACAGAGAGAGAAAAGAGAAAGAGAGAAAGGGAAAGGAAGAGAGAGAGAGAGGAGAGTGAGAGGGGAGAAAGAGATAAAAGAGAAAGAGAAGAGAGAAAGAGGGACAGAAAGAGAGAGAGAGGAGAAGGAGACAGAGAGAGAGAAAAGAGAGAGAAGAAAAAGAGAAGGGGGAAAGAGAGGGAAAAAGAATGGGGTGGGGAAAAGGGGAGGGAGGGAGAGAGAGAGAGAGAAGAGAAAGAGAAGGGGAGAGAGAGGGAAAAAGAGAGAGTTGGGTGCGGAGAAGGGGAGAGAGGCAGAGAGAGAGAAATACAGAGAGGAGAAGGAGACAGAGAGAAAGAGAGAGAGAAGAGAAGGAGACAGAGAGAGAGAAAAGAGAGAGAGAAGAGGGGGGAGAGAGATAGAAAAGAAAGAGAAGAGAGAGAGAGGGAGAGAAAGGGAGAGAGAAAGAGACAGACAGAGAGAGGAGGAGACATAGAGAGAGAAAAGAGAAAGAGAAAGAGAAGGGGAGAGAGAGAGGGAAAAAGAGAGTGGAATGGGGAGAAGGGGAGAAAGGCAGAGAGAGAGAGAAAGAGAGAGAGAGAGAGAGAGAGAGAGAGAGAGAGAGAGAGAGAGAGAGAGAGAGAGAGAGAGAGAGACTCACGAAGGACTTGGTGATGGAATGAATGGAGAGGCTAAAGGAGGGAGGGCAGTTATAGAGGCTTTCCAAATGTTTGAGACTGAGGGACCTCATGTTTTTGAGAGTAATGGAAAATTCATGGGCTAAGAGAGGAAGTTTACTTTAAAAATTTTTTATTGATGCCTTTTGTTTTTTATATCACCTTCATGTTGGGATATGTATCATCTTCCTCCCCAACCTACTCACTGAATTATTCTTTGTGACAAAATAAATAAAAAAGAAAGGGGTGGGGGAAAGCAAAACTAACTAAGCCATCTCCTGAGTCTGACAGTATATGCAATGTTCCACACCCATGGTCCCCCATTTCTGCAAAGAATGGAGGGAGAGATGCTTTTTCATTATTCTCCTGGGCCAAACTTGGGATTTAGAATTTACAGCATTCGGTTTCTTTTGCTATTCTTTCCATTTAAGTTGTTGTAGCCATCTTGCATGCTGTTTTCCTTGTTCTACTCCTTTCCATTTTGCATCAGTTCATATGTCTTCCTGGGCTTTTCTGAATTCTTCATCGAGTATCCATCAATTCCAGTAATATTCCAGACTATTCATGTTTGTTTAAACATTCCTGAACAGCTTATTTTTTTTTAATACCCAAAGTTCAAAGCAGTCGAAGTGTAGGAAATCCAAGCAAAGGCAATTATTCAGGCTGCTGGAAATCACAAAATCATGGCACCCCAGAGCTGGAGGGGACCTTTAAGAGATTTAGGGCTGAGGAGAAGGTAGAATGCTCAAGATGTATGTTGGTGTTTGTCCTTCTACAGGTGGTAGGTGGAACTGCAAGAGCCGATGAGCTCCTGGTAGAGGGAGAGAGAGGTAGAAAGATGACGGAAAGCCTTGGGCTTTGTTATCAGGCGGAGGGAAGAGCAGAGATGAAGCAACAGGGGAAACAAGCAGATAGAGAGGTGGGATGGAAAGATAGAACAAACCCTTGGGCCAGGGAGAGGTTCAAGGAAGACCAAATGACTTTATAGCATCAAAGGCTACAGAGATGAATGAGAACTGAGAAGAAGCATAAAGCTTCCATCAGGCAGAGAGGCAGGGCTAGTGAACAGAGAGTCAGGAGGACTTGGGTTCGAATTCTGCCTCTAAAACATACTGGCTGTGTGGCCCTGGACAAGTCAACCTCTCCTTGTCCTTGAGAAGTTTCTAAAAGCATGAGTTGCAGAACTGGTGAGATCTATAGTAGGGGAGGAATTTTTCTCTGTATCCATGAAATCACAAATACAGCCTAAAGCAAAGATTGATTGAGAGTTGGGAAAAACCTCAGAGACCATTGAGTCTAGTCCAGTGGTTCCCAGTGTTTTTTACTCCGAGAATCCCTTTCAAGAGCCATAAAATGTGTTGTGAACTCCCAGGTTAATTTAATATGCTTCTCATTATATATATATATATATATATATATATATATATATATATATATATATATACACATATATATATATATACATATATATATATATATATATATATATATACACATATATATATATACATATATATGTATGTATATATACATATATATGTATGTATATATACATATATATACACACACACATATATATACATATATATATATATATATATATATAAATATAATTTATTTATTTATTTATTTTGGCTAGGCAATGGGGTTAAGTGACTTGCCCAGAGTCAACCAGCTAGTAAGTGTTATGTGTCTGAGGCCGCATTTGAATTCAGATCCTCCTGAATCCAGGGCTGGTGCTCTATCCACTGTGCCACCTGGCTGTTCCTTCTCATAATATTCTTTACATTTATTTACTGCTTAAGGGGCCATGACATTTTTTTTTTAGCATGAAACAGACATTAGAGAACCACAAAATGGGAGCTACTCATCTAGTCTGCCGCAGATACAAAAGGAATTTTCACTAGAACATATCTGACAAGGGCTTATGGGTTGTCCAGTCTTTCTTAAAGACCTCCAGTGAGACAGTGAGTATAGAATCGAGAGTTGGAAGGAAACTGAGAGGCCATTTAGGTGCAGTGGATAGAGCGCTGGGCCTGGAACAAGGAAGACTCCTCTTTCTGAGTTCAAATCTAGCCTCAGACACTAACTAGCTGTGTGACCTTGGGCAAGTCACTCAACTGTGTTTGCCTCAGTTTCCTCTTCTGTAAAATGAGCTGGAGGACGAAATGGCAAACTACTCCAGTGTCTTTGTCAAGAAATCCTCAAATAGGGCATGAAGAATCCAGCATGACTGAGAACAACACTTTTAAAAGGAACACTCTATTTGGAGTCAAAAGAGCTGGATTCAAATCCTATTCAGCTTAGCTACCTATATGACCACAGGCAAACTGGTTTTTCCCTCATGGCCTCAGTTTCCATCTGTAAAAAGTGTGTGTATGTGTGTGTGTGTGTGTGTGTGTGTGTGTGTGTGTGTGTGTGTGTGTGTGTGTGTGGTGGATTAGAGGGTCTCCAAGTCCCCTTTCAGCTCCAAATCCTATGATTTTCCTTACACTGGACCTCCTCTAATAGAACTGGGAATTTCCATTTTTCAGTCTTGCCACTGACCCTGGGGGTCAGCCCTCCCTCCACCCTTCCTTTTCAGCTGCACACTTGAGTGGGTGGGTGATAGACACAGAGAAAAGTAATGGTGAGATGTGATGACAGTCATGACATTTTGACTGGGAAATTTCCTAAGAATAAGTGGCAGTCTGTGTGGGCCTGGGCAGATCGCATGGAAATACACGTGTGACCTTTCCAACTGTGACATACACAGGGATGTGGCCTCCCTTGGCTCAGGGAGGAAACAGCCCGCTCCCTCCCTCCCCTCTGGACTTCATACCCCCTGCTCCCTGCCCACTCCCCAATCTTGGCTTTATACCCCTGCATCTTGTTCGTTTTTCCTGGTCCACCCACCTGGAGCAACCATTTCCACTGCATGGATGGGCTGGAGATAGGGGTGGATGGAGCAGGGCCCTTGGGGATGGCTCTGAGTGGGGTGGAGGGCAGATGGGAGGAGTTGGCCTGGGAGTACTCAGAGGAGGCATGTTATGTGTATCTTGGTGTTCCAGACCTCTTCCCCTTCATCTCATTAGGTTCACCATCTGTCACAAGACAGAAGTCATGAAGAACACTCTGAATCCCGTGTGGCAAACTTTCTCCATCCCTGTGAGAGCCCTCTGCAATGGGGACTACGATCGGTGAGATTAGAAATGCTCCTCTTCTTCCTCCAGCCCCCTCCCCTCGCAGGTGATGCGGCTTGGATTGGTGAGCCATGGAGCTCTCTCCCAAACCCAGGTTCTTCCAATTTCTTTCTGGCCCTTCCCTTTCCTTCTGTTTCCACTACTCAACCATCTCCATTCCATCGTCCCCCAATTATAGTCACTCCCCCGCTCCATCTGCCCTGCCATATTGATACAGTTGGTGTAAACTACCTCTCCAAGGGAGGGGTCACCTGGAAAAGCCAGTACCTTCAGTACTTTGCATACAGTAAGTGCTTAATAAGGGCTTGCTGACTGCTGGACCAAGGTCTTGGTGTCTCAGAGCCAAAAAAATCAGAGAGGAGAGGCTTCTGCAAGTTGCCTCTCCTGACAGGCATTGCCTTGCCACCAAGCGATGCCAGAGAGGACGAGGAGGGAGGAACAGAGAGGGAATCAAGCAATCATGAATCACCAAGCATTCATTGAGTGCCTACTAGTTGCCAGGCCTGGGAGTAGAAGGGTGTATTATTCTATAGTTTCCTTAAGTATGCCAAACGCCTTTGAGAGGAATCCCTACCAAGGCAGGCTGTCAGCACCTTTTGATCTTGGAGAGTTACCAAAAGCACTGAGTGTTTAGGTGACTTGACTTGTTCAGGGTCACACAGCCAGTTTATGTCAGAGATGGGACTTGCACTCAGGTCTTCCTTCCTTTGAGGCCAGCTCTCTATCTGTTTTTGTTGTTGTTCATTTGTTTCAGTCATCTCTGACTTTTTGTGTCCCCACTTGGGGTTTTCTTGGCAAGGAGACTGGAGTGGTTTGCCATTTCCTTCTCCAGTTCATTTTACAAATGAGGAAACTGAGGCAAACAGGATTAAGTGACTTGCCCAAGGTCACACAGCCTACTGGTGAGTGTCTGAGCCTGGATTTAAATTCCAGAAGATAAGTCTTCCTGACTCCCGGTCTAGCACTCTGTGCACTGTGGCACCACCTATATCTGCTACACTTCCTACAAAGAGAAATATGAATCAGTCTCTATCCTCAAGACTCTTATGCTCTATCTGGGGAAATGTTATGTACACAAATGAATATATATGACATATATAAGACTTGTAGAATCTTAAAGTTGGATCAGAAACCAACCCATACATGAACAGGAATTCCTTTTCTTTTTCTATTTTTAAGGCAGTTGGGGTTAAATGACTTGCCCAGGGTCACACAGCTAGTAAGTGTCAAGTGTTTGATCTGAGGCCGCATTTGAACTCAGGTCCTCCTGACTTCAGGGCTGCTGCTCTATCCACTGCACCACCTAGCTGCCCCAGGAATTCCTTTTACAAGGCTTCCATTTTGGAATGGCTGAAATCTGGCTCTATTGAACTGGATCATAGAAGGCTCCTAGTCCAATCTGCTTACTTTATGGGTTGGTAAACTAAGGCCCAGAGAGGTTAAGTAATTTTCCCAAGGGTAGTAAGTGACAGAACCCGGATTTTAAATTAAGTCTTCAGACTCCAAATTCAACAATCTTTCCACTATGTCATGCTGCTGCCTCAAGTCTGAGCTGCATAATCTGGCCTTTCTCCTATGGGCTCAACTGCACGGAACCATAGACTGACTGTTAAGGCTGGAAAGGACCTTTGCCTAGACTTCGTTTTACACCTCCTCATCTTACAGGGGACGACTGAGTCCCACAGAGGGGAAGTGACCTGCAGAACATCACACAGTGAATCATGGCTGAGTTACAAGGTCTGGGCTGTGGGGCCCAAGGTCTGCTGCAGAGGAAAAGGAGGCTTTCGTGGGTGTGAGCAGAGGTTCTCAGGACCTGTGAGTTGAAAGGGAATTCAATTCTCACCCACAAAAAATGACCTCTATAAAGTCCCAGAGGCATCTAGGTGGTGCAGTGGATAGAGCCCTGGGCCTGAACTTGGGAAGACCTGAGTTCAAATCTGTTCTCAGACACTAGTTGTATAACCCTGGGAAAGTCACTTAACCTCTCTACCTGGATCAGTTTCCTCAACTGAAAAAACGGGGATAATAATAGCACCTACCTCCCAATGGATCAAATGAGATACTATTGCAAAATGCTTGGTTTTTTTTCAATTTAATTTTTTTTATTCATTCTGAACTTCAATACAAAAAGACAAAAAAAAAGAAAAAACCCAAAACAACCAAGCATTTCCATATAACACAGCACTGTATCAAGACAGGATTCAATATAAAACCAAGAATTTCCATTTAAGATTGTTTACTTCAAAAAACTTTATAATAAATACTACACAATTTTCAAAGCCACTCTGCTTTTCTGTGTTTCCTTCTAAGTTTTCCTTTGTTCTCTGCTGTTTACTTTTTATTTTTGCTTTTATTTGTGCTTGCTTAGCACCATACTGCTTTCTTGGGATAGGGCTTAATAAATGCTTTTTCCTCCTATCCCTTTATAATTTTAAAGCACTTTGTGTGTATCAGCCCCATGAGGGAGGTAGCAGAAGGGGGAGGCAACATGATACGCCAGGAAGAGGACAATTCAAATTTGACCTCTGTCACTGCCTATATAGACTTGAGCAAAATTGTTTAACTTCTTTGGGCCTCAGTTTCCCCCTCTGTAAAATGAAGGAATTGGACTAAATGACTTCTGAAAGTCCCTATGAACACTGTGTCCATTTTGCAGATGGGAAAAGAGCATCAGAAAGATTAAGGCTCTCCCCAAAGCCTAATAAGTGGTGGAGGTCCCACTTGAGCTCTGGTCACCTAATTTCAAGTCCAGTCTTTTTTTGCATGATGCCACATTGCCCGTGATGTTTGGGGTCCTGAGGTCGATGTCCACCTCACTCTTCCAGCCTTCCAGCCAGTGGAAAAGATGCTTACCAGTTTATATTTACCCAATTTATTTTACTAAACTCAGTGGTACTTATGCGATCTAATATTTGGGTCAGAGTTAAGGTCAGAGTTTTGGTCCAGTCCAAGGGGGTGGTGCAGCCATAGTAACGCTTGACAAAGAGCCCAGAATGTCCAGGTTCTAGTTCTAGCATTAATGTTTTAGCTCAATTAAATTTAAATTCCTTTTTTTTTTTTTTTGGCTAGGCAATGGGATAAAGTGACTCGCCCAGGGTCACATAGCTAGTAAGTATCAAGTGTCTGAGGCCAGATTTGAACTCAGGTCCTCCTGACTCCAGGGCCAGTACTCTATCCACTGCACAATCTAGCTGCCCCCATGGCTTGATTTAATTTAAAGTGCCTACCATGTACCAGGCACTGAGGCTACAGAGACAAAATAAAGCTGTCCCTGCCCTCAAGAAGTTTACAGCCTAGTCTAACAAACCTTGGCCAAATCATAGGATCACAGGGGGAAACTGGGTCCTAAAGAAGTTAAACAATTTTGCCCAAGTCTATATGTGCAGTGACAGAGGTCAAATTTGAATTGTCCTTTTCCCACCATATCCCCCTTCTGCTAATTCCCTCACAGAGCTGGTGTATACAAAGTGATCTTAAACTGTAAAGGGACAGGAGAAACGAGCATTTATTAAGCCCCTACTTTAGCACAAGAGACCAGTACTGTGCTAAACAAGCATTTTGCAACTTTATCTCATTTGATTCCTTGGGAGGTAGATACTATTATTATCCCCATTTTTCAGTTGAGGAAACTGAGGCAGACAGAGGTTAAATGACTTGCCCAGGGTCACACAATTAATCCAACTCCCTCATTTCACAGATGAAGAAACTGAGGCCCATGGGTGTAAAATGATATTTTCCTGGAGTTGTATAGCTAGTAAACGGTAGAGCTCATTCTTGTGAGGAATCATAGAAGACAGTGTGTGGGTGTGCTCTGGGAGTCACAAACTACTCAGTGGTGGTCTTGCTTATTATTCAACCATCTGACCAGAACCCATTCTCAGCCCCAGATTTGTTGAAATCTTAGAAATTGTAGAAGCTTAGTGATGGAAGGGCATTATGGGTCAACTCTCCCACCTGAAACACAAGTAGCCTCCAAAAAGGTAGGGCCGCAGCATTCAAAGGGCAGCCCTTTACTTATAAAATCAGGGGGCGGATCTAGTTGGCCTCTAATTTCCTTCCACGTCTAGACTTGTGATCCTATGGAGTTTCCTACAGACCGTTGTGTGCCTTTGTTTGTTTTCCCATTGGGAAGAACTGTGACAATCCCGCCCAGATGGAAGAAACTGCTCTGAGCCTCCCTCCAAGACCCAGAGCCTCCCTTCCAGGCAAGTGGCCTGTTCTGTTGGGCAAATGGTCCATCGAGGTATACTGGAGTTCCATTTTCTTTCTGGGCCTCACTTTCCTCAGCTCTAAAATGATGTGATGGATTCTCTTTAAATCTTATGGGTGATGAATTTCCTCGGGCCTCAGTTTTCTCATCTGTGAAATGAAGGAACTGGACCAGGTGGTTGTTAAAGGGACTCTTAGCTCCAATCGCCTATGAATGCTGTGCCCAAGCTTTGAAGATTGGCAATCAATCGATCAATAAATATTCATTAAGTGCCTCCTATGTGCCAGGCACCATGCTAAGTGCTGGAGCAAAAGACTGTCCTTGCCCTCAAGCAGCTCACCATCTGTGAGGAGCAGGGTTGTGGAGATGAGGAGTTCAGTTTTCAATTTACTGAGTCTGAGGTAACTGTGGGGTAGGCATGTAGATGCAGCCATTATGGAGAACGGATATAGAGGAAGAGGAATGTGGAGGGCTGAGGGCTGAATTAGGGGTTACCCACCTAGGAAGCAGTAGCAAGAAGAGATGACAAGGTAGAAGAGAAAAGAAGGATCTTTACAATAATAGCAGGCATTTAAAATCTCCTTAAGGTTTACAGATGTTATCTTTTTATGTTCTGTTTTTTAAAATAAATTTGTTAAACAGATAGTACAGTGCTTAGCACAGTGCCTGGCATAAGGTGTCGAAGTGGATAGAGCCTCCTGGAGTTAGGAGGACCTGAGTTCAAATCTGGCCTCAGACACTTACTAGCTGTGTGACCCTGAACAAGTCTCTTCATCCCACTTGCTTC